GCTCACAAACATGTTTTATGACGCTACATAACTTTGTCTGTCCTAAATCAGCCACCTGTAATTAAGTTGTAGTCGTTGGTTGCTGTTTGTCGTGAAATTATTTTGTTTTCATTTATTGATTTGTCATAAATCAGACCTTTGTTTTTTTGTCGTTTGAGTTGTTTCACTTTTTGTCATGTCGATACCTTTTGGACTTTGCTACCTGTTGAAAGCCGTAAAGTGAACTATTTTTTGTACATTAATTAGGCCGTTAGTTTTCTCGTTTGAATTGTTTTACATTTGTGATTTCGGGGACTTTTATAACTGATTATGCGGTATGGGCTTTGCTTATTGTTGAAGGCCGTACGGTGACCTATAGCTGTTAATTTCTGTGTCATTTGGTCTCTTGTGGAGAGTTGTCTCATTGGCAATCATACCACATTTTCTTTTTTATATAGTTGCTTAAATCCGCTTCATGTGGACTCAGTTAAGTAGGTGTCGCATTGGTCATTTTATCACATATCCTTATGTTATATATCGACAATAAAAAGAATAATGAATAGATGTTAAAAGTAAACCGTACGTGTATGTTTTGCTAAATGTGTGGTATTTATAAACTTATTACTAGTTAGAACTAGGAATCGATTTCATTTGTCCATTTTTTGACATTTGATAAGTTTCAGGACCTTTTTTCATGATTTTATACGTGGAGCCACTCCACGCTTATTGAACTGTTTTATGAAAAGTGAAAAATGTGGTAAATGAGGAATATTTCAGCAAAAATATGTGTGTGCGTATGGTGGGGCCACTGTTAATTTTCAAAAAACTGTCATAGATTTTGAAAAATTTTGCCAAAAATCATGTTTTATTATTTCGCCTACATTATGACGTCACTAAGGACACAATTGGTGAACATATGTTTTAACTGAAACAATTGCACATTTTGTTATATATTTTCATCAAATGTTGATAACTTTTTTGCAGTGAAATAAATTCAGTGTTTAAGGCCAAAATAAGAAGATTGTGAAACAACTCCTTTATTCATGGACAAATTGGCCCAACCTTTGTGCTCTAACATAATTATCGGGAGTTCTGTTCTCTTTTCAAGTACCTGCTGGCGTCAATTTTTTTTTTTTAACAGTTACAAAAATCAACAAATAGGCAGACAGAAAAATAATTTTGAAACAGGAAGATCGAATTTTGTTGATTGGAATTCAGAAACAGATAGTTAGATACCTTTAAATATTAAAAGATGAGAAGATGTATTTTTGTCGAGATGCATTATTTATAATGTATCACCTATTAAAGTTATCATAACACATCATATATTATGTTTCCAATCATGGAAGCTATTGAAATCAAAATAACACTGGTGTAACAATTTGATAATTATCATCAAGTTTTCTATTTTGCACGACATTATATATGGTAGTTTTTTCGATCAAAAAAGGAGGATGATCAAGTTTCTTTTTAAATTATGTCCTCTTTTTTTAAAAAAGAACGCTACATATAAATTTTTGACAGTGCATATCTGTCTTGTCAGTTTTAACTCTGTCATAAGGACTTTAAATGTGCAGTGTTGTGTTTTGAAGAATCTATATTTATTTTTAATAAGTGGTCACTATTTTATAAATTACATTGACTCAACATTTACATGTCAATTGTTTTAACGATATTTAGCTATCTATCAGAAGCCTTCACCAGATGTGTCGTATTATTTTTAAGACACTGCCTGTATTTGGTTCAATTGATAATACATATATGAGGGTTCAGGGGATTTTTTGTATGAAAAGAAAGAGAGTACAGAATTAAGTGAAGTACGAGATTGGGTACAAAGATTGGAAAAGAATAATAAATAATGGACATAGGAATGGTGAATTTTACAGACGAAAAAATATTAGAAATTCTGTGTAACTGTCCCCATCTATGAACATAAGTAATTGCTGGTATTTTATATTAAGCATTTACTATGTTCGATCTAAGCATTAATTTTCGGCCCGGCGGGAGATGAACTAAAATGAAACATCTCCATGTCAATTTGACATACATAAAACTACCATTCCGTTTTTCACAAGTTTCATATTTTCAATGAAATAACTTATAATCTAGCTTTTACTGTATATTTGAAAAAGTTTGATTTTTTATCAATTGTTATTATATGATTAAAATAGTACTTATATTAAGTTTTGTCTTTTCGTTATTTTGTGTTTGCTTCGAGTATATCATTTTAGTCTAATCCTTCCGAGCTGATTTTTACTTTTGGGTTTTGTTTTGTAGTGTCATCGCTGTACGAGGCAAGGGAGGGTTCAGCGTTTGCAAACTTGTTTCACTCTACCACATACTGTATAAGTGTTAATAATTCAGTTGTTGACATTGATTACTTTCTGTCATATTTGTTTTTCGTTTATTCATTTACCATTCATCAGAACGTTGCCTTTGCTGTTTGATATTATTTTTTTTTTCATTTTGGTTCCTGGGGACTTTTATCGCTAACTATACAGTATTGTATTTTTTCAATTATTGAAGCCCGTTCAGTTACTCATGGTTACTTACATCCACATGTACATTTACTTTTGACATCAAGTACAGACTTAGTAAAACCAATGCAGATGCGGACGCGCTTAGTCGGTTACCAATTAGCAGTGATACCAGAGTCTTATATCGGCAGCCGTGCGTTAACATCACATGTCATACTAAAAGATCTTGATTTGAGAGGCAGTGGAATTGATAACATCATTAACTGGAGGAAAGTTCAAGCGCAGGATCCTGGTACACACTATTGCGGAGTACGTCTAGGACACACAAATTCTACTACGAAAGATATTAGGTCCAATCCCCACTTCAGGCAGTTCAACTTTCTCAAATTTATGACATAGTATTTCACCATGTTACCATATTCAACGAAAAAGAGATATATTAACTGTTACTACCTCTGGAACATGTACCAACTGAGTTTCAGGCCAAACATAATAACATTGGACATCCTGGGACAGACCGAACACCATTACTGGTCAAGGAGAGGTTTTACTGGACCGGAATGCACCAAGATATACAGACATAGATAGAGGAATGTAGATGACGTGTCCGTAGGAAGTAACCTACATGTGGTAAGTATTTCAACGGTATCGCCATTGAGTTGGTGTGCATGGACTGTCTTACCCTTGAACCATCTAAGGGAGGCTATCAATACCTGTAAGTTATCACGGATCATTTCACTAGATTTGTTATGGCAGTTACAACTTAGAACCAGCCTGCCAAAACAGTTGCAGATGCTTTCTACAACAACTTCATCCTACATTTTGGAATACTGGACAGAATTCATTCGGACCAGGGGCAATCTTTGAAAGTACAATGATTAAGGAGCTATGTTACATCACACGAATGTCCAAGTCAAGGACTATTATCTACCATCCTATGGGAAATGGACATTGTAAGAGGTTCAAGTGGACGCTTTGTGATATGCTTGGCTCACTTGACATCAGCAAGAAGGTTAATTGGAACAGCCATGAAAGTCAACTGGATTTTCCTTACGACTCTACCAGACATGAGAGCCTAGGACAGCCACCCTACATGTTGATGTGTAGACGTAATCCGAGGTTACTTATAGATGCAGCTTGAGGCTTACGAGAAAACCCACAGGAGATTACAACAAAGTTCATCACAGATCTGAAGGAAAGAATCATGAAAAGGGTACATGAATTAGCAAAAGCAACTGCGAATAAGTCCAGATTTCAGCAGAAGGATCATTATGGCAACAGAGTAAGAGGAGGGACACTGAAAGTTTGAGATAGGGTATTGGTAAAGATTGTCAGCTTTGAAGGAAAACATAAGTTGGCGAATAGATTGGAACAAGACCCTAGACAGTTCTTAGCTAACAGAATGAAGATATCCTTGTGTTTACAGTTAAGGGACGTACAAGGAAGCTCCACATTAACCTTCTACTACCAAGCGACACACAAGAACCTACATGCATACTAAAAAAACCGAGACCAAACATTAGATGCCAAGAGGAGACTTGAACTGGCAACAACCCAACCTGACTTTCAGTAAAAATTGAAAACAACACGTTATAAATCTAATGCGTCCGAAGCGCTTTTCTGATATTACCTTTGCCAGGAACGTTCAAAGCCGTATATTTGATTCAGACGAAGAGTCAGAATTGGAATTTAGAATCAGCACAAGAACCGGTATTATCAGTGATTCATCCATCACTGAAAAGAGTGTATATAGTCATGCTGGGTATTATAAATACGAGTGAAACAAAAGGGGACGCCCAGTCATCTGCGGGTACTACTTCTATTATAGAGGATGTTGAGCTTGCTCCTACTGATGAGACTATTCAGGAAGAACTGTCTGATGAGGAAGCAGCTTCGGATACCGATACCGAATCTAATGATGATCAAATAGTGCAACCACGTCATCTTTCCAACAGAGAGAAGAGAGCTCCCCTCCGATTCAGATCGCATACCACCTTTATCAGGCTGGGAAAGGTAAAAGCAATGCATTTCTCATTGCCAGACACATGACTTCTTGAAAAATTATAGTCTGAGGCAGGAAAGACCATCTTATAGATACTGAGATCTTCTTCTTTTGCTCCAACCTGAAATGACAAGACGTCATTTTCAAGCTGGGGAAGTATGGGGAAGAGTGAAATTTCGATGGTTGGTATTTATATATTTTTAATTTCCAGGACTGGACTTTGGTGTGTTTTAAATTATTATTTATATTTTACATGTTCTAAACTGGTCATTTAAATCACACGTATGTCTTTGGAGGAAAATCTCTTTGTTCTTTAAAAATATTATTCAATTGTATTGAGCATATATGCAGACATTTTAATTTCTATACAATCTTTTTTATTCTTATTTCTATTTGAGGTTTTATACTCATTTACTGTTTAAAACTATCACAATATTCTTTATTAAGGTAGTTACTAACATATGTGTTTGCATTTACTAACATATGTGTTTGCATAATTGTGCATTTTTGGAGCACAATAGTTATTATTCTTATTTCTTATTCAGGTGTTACCATGTTGCCTACGGTTTGCTATCAATGCTTATTTGTGTTGCTTAATTATTTTGTTTAATCATACTTATTTTCGTTTGCTTTGCTTTTACTTAACATTAGTTATTTAGTTTGTTTCGTGTAGAATCTAGTTTATGTATGTATATTTTTATAATTGAATAGTTTGTAAAATCAAAAAGCGATATAATTAAATTAGAATATATTAACATATTTTGTTAGAATAATGAAATAGAGAAAAGATTCACATCTTGTATAATTGACTGTAATTGGAAATTCTCATTGAGTTCTCAGTGTACTCATGCTATTATTTTTGAACCGTTGTTTATAATTTTATATTTCATAACAGGTTCTTTTGTTCTTAACTATTTTTTGTATCATAATCAACGATCATCAACCTGAGATAACAAAGAAGTATTATGTTCTCAATTCAACAATTGAAAACAAGATTTGGTCCTTATATAGTCCATAAATGCTGCATTTTAAGACGATATAGCATTCTCACAAAACATGATACAATCAAAGTTCGAAGAGCTACGTTAGATGATTATGACAACGTTATCGCAATGAGAGACCCAAAAGAACTTTATGGAGGTTACGACCCATTACCAGATACCTACAAAATGATTGTAGAGAGTCCAACGACCGTAGCATATGTTGCAACTGTAAATGAAAAACCGGTAGGTTTATTAATCATAATTTTAAAGAGAACGAAATAGGGTAATAAAAAATATTTTACGATTAACCGGCTTAGTTTGTTTTTTAATTATTGAATTAATTAAATATATCATTTACAAAAAAATAATAATAAAAGCATTTAATATATAGTTCTAACAAATGTTAATAAAAATAGTCCAATAGTGTTTACAAGATGGCTGAACGAACTTAATCCAGATAGAATTCAACCAAATGTCAAGTATACATTAAATTCTATATTAAATTACTTAGAGATCAATACATTAAAAATTGTTCGAAGGAAATTATTCCATTTTTATTATCTGTAGATACACATCTTTTCACATGGAAAATCAAAAACACAAATTTGTGCTCAGTGTGTAGGGGTTCCTGAAACGTATCAACATAATTTAAGAGAATGTATTTATTTTAAAGTTTTTTGGAACATGTGGAATAAGATCTGTATTCTATTGAATAAACTTCATATTGATAAACATTTGATATATTTACAATATTTGGTGGTAGGATATGAAATACAAGACAATGCATTGAATGATATCAATTATCTCTTTACAGTTAGCTTATTAACACTGCACAAATGGAATTGCATTTCAAATGATATGACAAACCAGATTAAGGTTTATGACATATTTGATTAAGAATAAAAATACAGATACTATCTGATGGAATATAGAAACAAAAACCTTAGTCATATGTTAAAAAAATATTCGAACATACTGAAATCATGTAAATGAAATGTATGAATGATGTCTACGTAGATAAAGATTACATTTGCAGTATGGTTCTTGAAGTTTATACATTGTATACCGTTGGACTTTTCTATGTGCAAACAAACAAAAACACTCATGTATAATATTATATTTGGGACATAATGTAATAAATACAATCCAGCACTGTGTATTTTATATAACAAATACATTCGAGTATGTTGGTATCAAATATATTTTTTTTATTTCTTTTTTCTTCTATAACTCCTTTTATTTAAACATTTTATTTCTGTATACAAACATTTGTTTTTGGTACAAAAATATTGACTAAGAAATAGTATATAATACACGCTAAAATAGTTTGATGTAATTCAACAAATTGCATACGATAGAGAGCTGAAACAAACACAAGTTTCCTTGCTTATTTTTGGTAAAATGAACTTGGAAACAGGTTAACCAATTCGAAACAAAAGGCCAAGTAACTTTGTCAATGATCGAAGTAAATTTTGAAAAAATAAGCCCAATTTCGGAAAGCAAGTTGAAGTTCCGTACACTTGTGATTTATACAAGGGAGTTTATACTTCTATATTGTACTTTGACCAAAATGTAAATGATATTTCTTATAACATTTGATTACTTTTAATCGAGTTGTTCACCTGGATACTCGAACTAGCGTTGTAATCCGACGAAATTGTTAAAATAGCATATGTGAGGGTGTGGACAGCTAAAAAGGGAGGTGGGAGAAATGGGTAGAAGGTGGGAGAAGAGGTGGTGGGAGTAGGGAAGCAAGGGGTGGGAGGTGGGAGCAAAGGGGGTGGGAGATGAGAGAGAAGAATGTGGGAGAAAAAAAAGTGTCATTGTAAAATTATTCTAAATGATCTTAGATTGGCCTTTGATTTTCTTAAACTTTTAAACATTATTTAAGATCATTTAACCTGATCTACATGTAACATCATTGTTGTTCATCATTGAGATCAAACATAATTTCCTAGAAATTGACCTAATGTCCACCCATTGTCGTGCGAATCATATCTCATAGGCGAGGATATTTGTATACTAAGAAACACCAACACTGAAAGTGAATTGCAAACCAGATCTAGAAAAACTATTAATGAGAGGATATAAACTGAAATTGGTAAAACAAATTCTATCAAACTTCAAATTCCAAAACAGACAAGATAAATTAAAGAAAAAGAACAAAATTGAAAATATATGTAATGTATCATTCATTACATAGTATCATCCTCAAGCAGAAAAACTTCGAAATGTATTCAGGAAATGCCGGCATCTTATTAAATTAGATTCTACAATAGGTGCCAGTTTCCATAAAAACCTATCAATAGGATTCAAAAGAAATAGAAACATTAAGTGAATTAGTGAAACGAGCTATAAAATAATTTGTATAAACCTCACAGTTCCTACTAAATATTTAACTATGCAGAATTATTAAATTAGATTCTACAATAGGTGCCAGTTTCCATAAAAACCTATCAATAGGATTCAAAAGAAATAGAAACATTAAGTGAATTAGTGAAACGAGCTATAAAATAATTCGTATAAACCTCACAGTTCCTACTAAACATTTAACTATGCAGAATTATTTAATGACCATAATGTAAACCACACATGTACACTGATATTCTTATGACAAAACTTTCTTACCATGAAACACTAAATCCAACATTTATTGAAAAAGAGTGATATACAAAATATCAAATTCAAATTCAATTTAAAAAATAGTTAAAAATAATAATAAATAAAAAAATAAAATAAACTATTCAAAAAATTTAAACTTTTACAGTAGTAAAAAATAATAAATGGAAAAGAAAAACAAAAAGGGGTGGTCTCTGATGAAGGTTTCCCTGGAATAAACACAATTCCGAAAAAGAAAACGAAACATTGCGTACATAGCACAGATATGATTTGCATAAAAATAGATGGATATTATGTCATTTTCTATGGAATTATGGGAGAAAAATTGATGTTACAGGATGAGAGATTTGGAGATTGGGTAGGGGTGGGGTGGGGAGGAGGGCAGGCTGGGAGACTGGCAGGGGGGGGTGGGAGACTATTGTATGGGAGGTATAGGAGGTTGAAGAGAGTACCCCTGTCCATCTCTCATATGTGTTATAAACATTATTTACTTTGAAAAAAAGATTGTGATTGAAGATTTTGGAGTAGATCTTTAGAATGCATATCTGATTGACTTCGTTGAACATATCACAATATTTCTGAACTCCAACTTTTACAGTAGAAAAAACTTCAGAAAGATGTTTAGTAAAAAATCTTGATGACCCGGCTATTTATAGTTCTTTATAAGGATTTTGTAAAGTTCAGGTAGCCTGATAAAAGTATCTTTTGTGTTAATGTACTTACTTTTATTCAGATTTTAGTCAAAATATTGAAAGTTACATCATAATGTTCAACACATTTTGTCTATTTTGATTTTTACTAGACCTTCATCTTATCGTATTGAAGATTCATGCCATGATGATTATCGACAAAGACTCCATGTGCCTATGACTACATGATATCATAAATGTTAACTATGTAATATAGATACAATGAATAAGCGTTGATTCTTGAAAAAGAAACCATGAGCCCGGAGGGCGAATCGTTTTTTTTTCATGAATCAACGCTTATCCATTGTATCTATAACTTAAATTATTGTGTTAATGTCTTTTCAAAATTAAAGCCTTTTCTTAATTAGAAGGTATTGTAAGTGAGTTTAAATAACCATGGTATCATGTTCAACGATGCATTACTAAATATAAGATCACAACTAATTGGTTAGAAAAATACAAATATAACTAAACACGTCTGCCTTTAAATTATCAGGCATCTGAATATTATCTGTGTTTACAAAATAAGACATATTCGAACTTATTTCTAAAAAATTGAAAATGGAAATGGGGAATGTGTCAAAGAGACAACAACCTGACCAAAGAACATACATAAAAGTATATATAATAAGTATGTTACCAAAATGTATAGCAAGAAGCCTAATTCTAGGCACATCCCGATTTACTCGCATAGGATTTGATAAACATTTGTAAAATTATGTAGTAAAACAGATGAAATCTTACTATATTTATAAAACAAAAATGGACAAACTGAATGTAATCATTTTCGTTTCAAATATGTGAAATATCCAACAATAATCCAAAAATAAACGGTAAAACTCACTATTATTACAACAATATCCACAATTACATACAAAATAAGAAAAATAAACAGAAAAACTAAACAATAAGGACAACAAAGAGAATACAGGGATTCGAACCTAAACCGACAAGTCCCTACCTTTAACTTGACTCTTTAACTCATTGATCTTAACCATGCTAACCTCGCGGCTACCAACTTATACTATACGATTGCCTATTACATGTATGTATATATAAAGGTACAAACCCGGTGTGTCCGTTGTACCGATGTATATCATATGTTCATTTATATATATATATATAATAGACATTTAAATTGTAACCGATTAGTAGCCGAGAGGTTTCGTCGATATGTTGATGTCAGTCACACATAACAGATTTCAAGGACGGGTTCGATTCCCACAGAAAGCATATAAAAATTACAAAAATTAAAGGTAAGTTTTTAAATTGATTCCATTAGTGAACAGAAACCAGTAAATTAGCTAATTCAAACTTAATGAAATTAGACACACAAAGGAAACAATTGAATATAATTTGGTGAATCCATTTCAGCGACAGATTTAGAAAGCGTTGATTCTAGAAAAAGAATCCACGGTAAATGAATAGGCTGACGTCACGACAATGGTTTAATATATCAGAGTATACACCTAAGAAGAAAGATTCTATTAACTTCGGATTGGTGTCAAAGATATTTGTACCTATTAAGATGTTCTTGTCTATAACCGTTTAAAGTTAATGCAATAATAATCTATAAAGTTGTAGGTCATGGATGACCTTGATATTATTTCAAAGTTTTTATGGATTGATGATCTTTAATGTGATGATTATTCCGATACCTATTACACACAATTTGTTTACAATATAAATAGTGCCTTTCCTTTCAGTAACATTTTGTCAAATGATCCTATTTAATGTAGTGAAAGAATCATGACCAAAAAATAAGTTTCTTTCTCCTTACAGGAGGGAGTGGCCTGTGCATCGTTAATTGATGACGGAAAAACAGTCGGAATGTTCGGATTAAGAGTTTCAGCAAAATATCATGGTTGTAGATTAACCCGAAAACTCTTTAATCACATTGAAACTGTCTCTCATGGAACTGCATTGCAATTTGTTGGTTGCACATATGGAACAGTCAGCCGCAAGTTTGCTAGTGGATTTTATATCAAATGTTCCGACAACGTAATGTCAAAGGTTAGTTCTTTTATGTCTTTCTTGCACGTATGACCTTTGATAAATATTTTTCACGGTAAGGTCACTGTACGCTCTTGCGCATTTGACGTCATTATCGGTGTGATGTCTACCGTGGTGTCATCATTATGTAGAATATGTAGAAGTCTGTATGGGATTAAGTAGTTTTTTTGAATGATCTGCTGGGTGCAACTTTAAATATAAGCCTAAAGCCAAGAACTAAAGTTGATACTTGATATAGTCCTTATTATTACAACTGGGCCAGTTAAAACAAACTATACATAATGAAGATTTAGGGGAAAATGTAATGATTTGGTTTGGATTACATAAGATATGACGAAAACATCAATAGGTCAGCAATCTTCCGTCTTAGATTTGTTGCTTATTTAATTTTTATAGAAGACATTATCAATTACATTGTACGAAGTTAAAAGATCATTGAAAACAAAAAGAGTTAACACTACATAAGTCACAATCATGAAATGTAGCAATATATGCTGTTTTTGAAAATGTTCAAAAAAGATCTTTCGGTAGAACTGTACATATAAAAGTTACTGATAAATTTGCCAGTACCAGGACCTCTTTGTGAAAGAAATAAAATGCTGAATTCATCAACTCTACTTTTGCCATTTGTTCAATGATATAAAATTCTTATACTCCTTTCATTTTGAACCATCTGCACTATTTTGCGGATTTCAAAGAGTAACATAATGTCGGGTCGGTGTTGAACACTTTAGATCGGAATTTGAGAAACTCATCAATGATACAAGGATGTTGGCTACTCTAATTAGAAATAATAAAAAACCGCAACAAATTGATAATTTATAAAAAAACAGAGCTGAAAAAGCAGAAAAAATGACAGGTCCGTGACCTTGTTTTTGAGATATAAGACATTGAAAACTTTGGCGGAAAATGTATCTCTCTAGACTTTTCCTACGTTTAACATTTTCAATGAAAAAATATGAAAAACAAGGAGGACTTTATTAGATTTTGAAAAGTAACTTTTTAAATTATATATAATTAAATCATGAAAAGAAAATTAGGGGTTAGCGGACATTTTTTTAATGACACGAATAATACTAGAGGATTCCAAATATCTGATAAAAAGTGAAATACAGGAGTAGCAAACATTCTTAATATGAAGTTCACAAGACGCTCGTTGGGTCTAAATATAGATTTCAAACTGATTTACATAACTTGGCACTACCAACCTATCTAAACGTATTATCTGAACTCTATGCATTGACACATGATAAAAGAGAGCAACGCTATGTTATTAAAGGGGGTACTACTATCGATAAAGACCGGGAGGTAAAGGACCAAAATATCGCATCAGTCAAAAGTACCTAGGAAAGAGTGTCGTCATGTCATTAAAGATGGTCATCATATTGTACGAACTGGTGTAAATGGGCTTAATCTCTTGGTTTTTATATAAACAAATTTATGAATAGTGCGTATATTCGCGAATCAAATTCCGAAAATAATTTAGAAATTCGTAAAAGAGTTAGTAATACACCCGTATCTTGAATTAGAAACAAACATCAAGTAGTTGCGAAACGTGTTTTGCTCGTACCGGCCTTTGACGATAAAGCCAACAATGTGGTAGGGGTATTAATGCTACATGGAAGTTCTCGCATTTTTCTACATTCAATGTCGTACGTTACTCAATGATTGTATAAATAGTACATACATTATTTTTCGTAACCTACAGCACATGTTTCTGTTTAAAGCGGTGACGCTCCTTTGGCTTCATCTTAAGCTATGTATATTCCGTTACTCGATCGCTATGTCCGTGTCTGTAAGGACATTATAGATTTCAATGAACGCAACCTATGTATAACTGATAAATTACCAAGTCAGGGATTTCGTTACCACAAATAGCAGAAGACTATTATCAAAAAAAAATTGTTGATAAAAATATTTAGTTTTGAATATGACTGTTACATGTATTAACCTTCCAACAAACTGGATGTCACATCCTAATTCTTACGTTTATGTTGTCAATAGACTCCGCAAACTTAGATACGATCCATGTTAACCTTTGATCCTTTGAATACATTTATTCTAATAGGTTATCAATGTAACACTGTTGTTAGATCTTTGAATATTGACTTTATCGGTTCTAGCATTGATTTTGTTTTTATAAATTAAAACAAACTATTAACAGACAGATTAAAAAAATTCGGAAAATAAGGTCAGAAGTCAAAGACTTTTACCAACCGTTAAAATATTGATGAAAAAGAGGAATTAGTTTTTAACTTTGACAAAAAGATTCTAGATTGAACAGAATTCTGAGATATGAAACAGGAAATTCTGGACACTTATCAATATAATGTGTATTTAGGAGTCGCCATTCACAAAAGTAAGCTAGGATAGTATTTCAAACTCGCATTCGTGTACTTAAGCGGGGAAAGCCTGAAGGAAAAACCAGGAATGGAAAAAAAATTATAGCCCAAAAAAAACCCAGGTATTCTGAAAGGGAATGTAGATCCTGCGCTATTGATGGCGTCCGTCGTGTTGCTAATTAGAAGTACAAATTAGATGATAAGTGGCATAAGGTAATGTATTAATCGCGTTAAAAAGGACGGGATTTTGTCTTTAACAGTTGCCACCCATCTGTAGTCATCTGTGACAATGATATTCCATAACGATCAACAAAATCATGATGGCGTCCGTAAAATATGCACAACGATTACTTATTTCATTATCATTTGGAACCCTTGGTTTCACAACTCTTTTTGGTAAGCAGCAGGACTATGTTAAGGAAATCATGATTGAAAACGCTACATACTGAATATTGCTTCAATTGGAAAAAAATGTATTCCATATACAGACACTACCGGATTACTGCTACTTGGAAACTGAAAATTCACAATTTGAAAGCTTTAAACATTTCTTATGTCGTAAAGATAAGTTCTAATTAGTTATCAAAGGTACCAGGATTATAATTTAATACGCCAGAGGCGCGTTTCGTCTACATAAGACTCATCAGTGAGGCCAAATACGGCTAAGATAATCTATACCTGGGATAAGAAAATCCTTAGTTTTTCGAAAAATTCAAAGTTTAGTAACAGGAAATTTATAAAAATGACCATATAATTGATAGTCATGTCCTATTTTAAACTGACCTAATTTATGGCAATATATATAAGAAGATGTGGTATGAGTGCCAATGAGACAACTCTCCATCCAAGTCAAAATTTATAAAAGTAAACCATCATGGTCAAAGTACGGTCTTCAACACGGAGCCTTGGCTCACACCGAACAACAAGCTATAAAGGACCCCAAAATTACTAGTGTAAAACCATTCAAACGGGAAAACCAACAGTCTAATCTATATAAAAAACGAGAAACACTTATGAACCACATCAACAAACGACAACTACTGAACATCAGATTCCTGACTTAGGACAGGTGCAAACAATTGCAGCGGGTTCAAACGTTTTAATAGTATCAAACCTTCACCCTTATCTGAAACAATAGTATAACATCACAACATAGAAAGACACACTATAAAATATCAATTGAAATGGCTTAACTCAATCAAAAGACATATTAACACCAGTGAACATACACTGAACAAATAAATTTGATCTATGATACAATGTAAATACAAAATAAATAAATGAATAAACTAAGGGAAGAATAATTATAGTAACATGTTATACCGCTGTGAAACAATTTAAGAAAAACAATATGCTTGAACAAAAATATCAGCCATTTGCAATTACTTTAAACACATGTAAATGAAAATAATTATTTATTCTAACTTCAAGATATCTCATATAGTTGATAAGATATCTTATAAAGTTTAGAAGATATTTTACATAGTTAATAAGATATCTTATATAGTTAATACGATATATCATATAATTTTGAATACGTAAAGAGCAAAAGAAACATAAAAAGAACATATTCCACGTTGATAAATAAAGAAATTATTTAAAAATTAAGGTTCTTAGTTCATTTTACAACTCCCTCGTTTTAAAAAGTTTACCTTGGAATAATTTGGTAATCATAAGAAGGTCGCTTTTGGTCAAATACCTTCTAAATTTTCTACGTATTTTCGAGCCCTTGCTTTCCAAGGTTAAGGTTTGAGCGTTCATGATGAAGGCAAAACAGCGCTTCGAACGCACGATATTTATAAACTACATGGTCAACACAAATTGTCGTACACGCATAATAGATATTTTCGAAAACTATTCGATACTGACGCTTACACCTACGCATATGCCTACAGGTAACCTTTTTTGAGAAGGGTCATCTCAATATGTACAACGACCAGAGGTATTTATATTTTGTTTTTCTAATTTACATTTTAAATACTGTATAAAACTTTTATTTTGAATGATTTGCTACTTTTTTTAGCTCTGTTAAGTAGTTGAGAATTGATCGATCTTAATATTGTACTTTTGGAAAAAAGGGGGAGCTTTGTGTAAATTAGTAAAACTTTAATCAGAAACAAGGAGGTGTAAAGTCATTTATAGCGTGAAACAGAACGTATAAATATGTAGATTTTAGTATGCGTTATCCTATGTGTAATCAGGGCGGGACGGAATTTTACACCGGTGTTCAAAATGCATTGTAAAATTTCGATAACACTAAGAACGAGGTCATTCATTCAGTATGTTTTGACATTTTGATACGGTCCCTATATTTTTGTAGTCCGTGTAGGTGTCGGTGTCGGTGCAAGTGTCTGTATAGATGACTTTTCGAAAATGTCTATTATTAACGGATCTCATTGTGTGTCTTTGTTATCCACGGGAAAAACAAACAACTTACTTGGATCAATACTGTTCATAAACTACTTTCTTAATCTTCCCTATATGTCATTTTTCAACATCTAAATTGTCTGCTAGGATTTACAAAACTAAGATATCAGCATTGAATAGTTTACAGACGTATATTGTCTTTTTTTTTTATCTAAAGTTACCAATAGACTGAATGATAAGGCCAATTAGAGATTTCCAATAAAATGACATACGTACCTAACTCGACGTACG